AAAAATCAAACAGCACCTACACCACATGTTGTTTGGGAGGGTTTCAAGAAAAATTCTCCTCGCTCATCCAAAAACAAACTCCAGCACATTCAGTTATCAGACACGACTGGAACTTCAAATGGGACTGGCTTCTATGGTCAGATGAAACAAAAAAATTGCTTTTTAGCAACAAACACTCAAGATGGGTTTGGTGCACACAAGGGAAAAAAGTACCCCATGTGTACAATGAAATATACTGCTGTATTTTTAATGTTGTGGGCCTATATTTTTGCTGGAGGTCCTGGACATCTTGTTTAGATGCATGGCATCTTTGATTCTGTCAAATACCAAAAGATAAAAAAATAAAAGAGTGACTGACTCTGTTAGAAATCTTATAATGGGCCATGTTTGGATCTTAAAACCGGACAATAATCCAAAAACAAACCTTAAAAACAACACAAAAATGGATCACTGAGCACAAAACCAAGCTTCTGCTATAGCCATTCCAGTCCTCTGACCTGAACCCTGTAGAAAATGAGTGAGGTGAACTGAAGAGGGGAAGCACCAGCATGGAGCTGGGAATCTGAAGGGTCTGGAGAGATTCTGGATGAAGGAATTGTCTCTGATCTCGTCAGGTGCTCTCTAACCTCATCAGGCATTATAGGAGAAAACTCAGAGCTGTTATTATGCCAAATGGAGGTTTCAAAAAGTATTGAATAAAAGGGTGCCGTTAATTGTGTCCAATGTGTATTTGAGAAAAACATTTATCATTTATTTATTTATCATTTATTTACAATGATATTTCCCCCCATTTTAAATTCTTATTCTCCAATGAAAGGTTAGATTTATGTGAATTTTTAAAATAAAAGATCAAAATGATTAACAATGCAGATTTATTTTCACAGCCTTCATTGATCATATTTACCAAGGGTGCCAATAATTCTGACCACGACTGTGTATATATATATATATATATATATATATACAGTGTATATTGGTAACATGGCTAATATGTTTTCAGATATAGATTTTTGTTACTTTTTAAAATTAGTTTTATGTTTGATCACCTTTATTTTTTATTTTGTGTATTTATTTTTGTAACCATAATTATTATTTAATTTTTGTTTGACTTTACATTTTGTTTTTATTTTTTTCACCTACTTTTATTATCTTTATAAACGTTTTGTTTACATTTTTAATATATATTTTATTACATATTTAGGATATATTTGGCTCGTATTTCTTATTGTTTTTCTTTTGGTCACGAATTTTGCTTACCATTATTATTTATTTTGTTTATTTTATTATGACATCTAAAACCAAGCAATCATTGTTTCATTAACATTTTTCTGTATTTGTTTTCCTTTTTTTAACATTAGTTTTATGTTCAGTAACCTTTATTGTAGTTTTATAAAATTTTGTGTATTCTTTTTTTTTTATTTCAGAAAATAATGCAATCTTTATCATAACCTATTTTATTCTTGCAGTGTCTGCCAGCAGCGTTCTTGCAGATTTCAGACATGTCATCGCATGTGTTTTGACAGTGACAGCTTCGGCGCTTGGTTTTATATAGTCATAATTAAAAGTGTAGGCTTCATATGATGAAACGTTTCGGCACACCTCGCCTCTCGACAGCTCTTCAGCAGCTGATAACAGTTTGATCAAATATGCTCTCTTTTTGTCGCTGAGATCGTAAGTGACTTTATGAGATGGTAAAATAAAAGATTAGAATCATCAACCTTTGTTGTAATGAACATTTTGCAGGAGCTGCCATTTCTGTGTATGTATTTTAAGCATTTTATTTGACTAGATATTCCTCCAGCTGCTTTGGGGAGGGAGGCCATGAAGACAGCTTGAAATACACAACAAAACCAAGGGTGACTAATAGCTTCACCCATAGGCTTTTACCAGGGGAAGATCATGTTTACAGCCTCATTACATAACAATAAAAAGTAATCTTTCCTCTCTGTCTAAGAAATGATTGCTTGTAAAGCA